TAAAAACTCCAGCCTCTTACTTTCTAATTGCTTGAAACAGTAACATTTTTGAGAGGCTTAGATGAGAGTGTAGTGTGTTGGTGTACTGTGTATTGCCTGTATACCCCTCAGTTGAAACCATTTCAGCTGAACGAAAAGCAGCTAGAAAAGAAAATAGAATTTTATTTGATGAATTTGTTTTCTTATTACAGGTAATTAAGAATGTTAACGTGGAATTAGTTCAAAAAAAAGATTGTTAACGTGGAAAATATTTGATTAAATCCCAATTTAGTCCCTCAACTATTGACAGACTCTCAAGTTAGTCCCTAAGCAAAAAAATCTTTGATTTTATCCTTAAAATTTAGTAATTTGGTTCTTTTTGTCCTTCCATTAAATAAATGATGGCATGACAACATTCCGTTAAGTAATTTCCTGAAGCTCTTTTCTGGTAAGGATGTGTAAATTACAGAAAAACAAGTTTACTGACTCGTTAAAAATAATTTGCCAGGTCCTCATTGGGTCTACTAAAGGTTTGTTGGAATAAATTAAAATGTCATAATAATTTAATAAATTTGCATAGCTACCCCCTTCTTCCTTGCCCTTGTTCTTCTCCTCCACCTTTGTATTCTCTCCCCTCTTTCGCTTCTCCTTTTTTAAATTGAATGGAAAAAATCAACAAAGAGAAATAATACCCATAAACTAAGCTTAATTTTAACCCAAAACCCAGGCTCTATCACTTTTCCGATCAAACTCAAAAGAAGAAACAGATCTAAAAAATCTATTGAATTTGAAATATAAAAACCATAGTCTGCCACTTCAAATTTTCCAATTTAGTTCTTTTTTTTTTTCTTAGCAATTTCCCATGAAAAAGAAAACAAATTTAGAAACGAAGGGAAAGGTGGCAGATTAAAACCTTCCTTGCTTAGCAATTTAGTTCACACAAAATGAATTAAAATTAGAAATCAGGAATGAATTACCAAAGATGAATTCAATGGTTAAATTTTAATCAATGTTTGAAACCAAATGGGAAAACCCAAATGGGAATTTCACCAAAGATTGATGGGTAAGGAAGACAAGGGTAGAACCCAGCAATTTGGGTTCCGTCGAACCCAGATCTGGTTCAATCGAACACCAAACGTGAGTTCCCATGGAGATTCCTACCACCTCACTACCATCGAGATCAACTCATCACTATGCTTCAAGCCACCCTTTGCGAGACCGACACCTGCAGCCAAGTGTCCCGATCGGACCTCACCATCCTCGAAAAATCGCAAGAAATCTCAAATTTTTTTCATGTTTGTCACAGATCTAGCTCGAGAGGAAGAGTAAATATGAGTTAAGGTCTCACTCGCACTAGAGATTGGGAGATTGTGTGGTGTTCTTGCCCAGCGACGAGGATCCAAAAATCTTTGGGTTCCCCGCCAGCGAGAACCTGATTTCTTTGAAGGGATTTGCATAAAAATTGAAGAGGAAAGAGTTGAAGGAGTCTGAGAAACCCTGAGGAAGAAGAACAGTGAGTAATTTTGTTTTATCTTTTTAACTTTTAATATTTTTCTTTGAACAATTTTAGCATTATTTACTGATATACACGAGAGAAAGAGGAAATGAGTTCCGTGGGAAACGTCGCCCACGAGAATTGAATAATCTTAATCCAGGTGCAATGTCGTCAAGTCGAAACGGATCATTTTTCTAACTTTTAATATTAAAATTTTAGTTTAATAGGGGTTTTGTTTGGTAAAATTTGTTTAATAGGTTGAATTATTTGTTGGACTACTTTTATGTCCAACTAAGCAATTTTGCCTGCATATATTTGCCGCATCATGTAAAAAATAAAAAAAAACTATAATTTTCTGAGCTAACGGGTGATAATAGTGAATTTTTAACTGAA